AACCTGTAAATTTAGATAAAATTGGTCTCATAGGTTAGAGGCACAAGATATTAACATGAATCCAAATCAAATTTAAACATAAAAATTAAATATAATAAATTTCACTTCAAATAAAATTGAGAGAGAAATAAACTTTAGGTTGTCAATGCCCTAGTTCATAACTTTCTCACAATGAATGGTTTCTTTCAACTAGATTTTGTCATATACAAGACCTCTTCCTATCTCTTTTCCTCATTGTCTTATCTCCATCCTTCTATTCCTACATAGTAGAAAAATTAGATGCTAAATTCTTCTTTCCCTGCATAAAAGGAACATCACTTCAGGAAATAATTTAATAATATTTATATATTCAAATCCTTCTATTTTTTCTTGATTGCAACAGTTTAATTAGATGTTGGAATATTTATAAATATTTATAAATTTGCATTAATTAATAAGCTCAAATAGATTGGTCTTTTTATTTTTGTATAGACTATAATTAGTGAATCACATAAGTGAGCTCAATGGATAGAGGCCCAACCTACAATCTCATAACTATCAGTAATTTTTTATCTCTTAACTAACTGATTCAAGGGTAATGTGAGATTAAATAATTAATTAATTTATCAAAGCAGTTATTGATCTAGTCCATATAAGTCAATCAGTCAATTACTAAGACAAGACAAGACTTTTTAACTATCTTCATTATCTCTAAACTCTCTACAAACTAAAAGGGTCTAGTAGGTTGTGAATCTTTCTACACTCGAGATAATTGAGGAGTCATAATTAGACATGGATTCTTTAGATGCGCATATTATATCACTTAATCTTATTTATCTTATATGAATTAAAATACTAACGCTAACACATGGCATCAGAGTTAGGTTATGAATATTATTTTTTGTAGTATCTCAATTCAATATGCTTATGGAGATTATGATAAATGGGATAGAAATTCCTTTTAATTGAAATGCTTGATTTGTTTATTATGCTCATATATGTTCAGTTCTCCTTTTCCTTTATAATTGAAAATGATAATGAAATGAAATTAGATTCGTGAGAGATTCAATTATCCTTTATAAAGAAATCTTGATGGTTGTTGAATAATCTCAATAAAGATTAATGTAGCCATATGAATCAATTCCTCATGTGTCCCCATTTTTTCAAGATTGAAAACTTGTTTATGAAAGTATCTCTTGAGAAGCTGTATTCCATGTAGTGCAAGATGAGATATAATTTCTTTAGTGATACAAATAATTTCAAAACAATCCTCAAAATGGCTAGAGAGAAAAGGGAAATCTAGTGACTCATGAAGCCAAACAATAGTCAATTTAATAACGCATCTAAGTTTTGTTCTTTCCAATTCAAAAAGGTAAAAAAAGCCTTAGACAAAGTTAGTTTTTCTTGTCTTTTCATTTAGCACCAGGCTTGGCTTGTTTGTAAAACTTCTATTACAACCCTTAAAAAAATGATTAGCTTAACCAATAAAGGCTTGTAACTAATCCAAGTGACATGGAAATCAAAAACTAGAGAGCATTTAAATTATAATGGCTTGGAACAAAAGAGTGATTAGTAATTTCCACTGAAACTATAAATTTTGATGAATGACGACAAATCAAATAAAGACACTAAGAGTTGGTAGAGTTCATTTGAACTTTAACAATGCAAAGTCCACTTAGAGAGATAATGAAAATGGTGTTCAGGAGTGATTTCATAAAGATTGTTTAGTGATCTTTATGTGTTTAAGATCAAAGACTTTTGCTTTAAACTAGCCAAAAAAAGAAAGCAAAGCATGCACAAGATACTTGAAAAGATTTGGACATTCAACAATTTGACTGCAAAATGACTCATGTTTGGAACTTCATGGATTATATGAGAAAACGGAAGAGTGAGGGCAACAAATCAAGGAAACTTACATAAAACAAGTATTCATCCAATCATCTATACCTTGCAAAGCAATAAAAAGATCTATAACTTTCACATCCATCTCATTGCATAGCTTTACATAAGCTTTCAAAGATAATCACCATTTAATTTAGCCTAAAATAACCATATGCACAATAGGCAAACTAAGTATAGATGCAAAAAAAAAAAAAAAGCTTCCTATCAATATGAGACCTAAGAGTCAAAAAACATTGTGACAATACAACTATGGTGAATATAATCTATGCGAGTCAATACTAGAAAACAAGAGGCTTAGAGAGAGAGAGAAAGAGTATGCTAAACCTTAAACCAATAAACATGTGCTTACCTTGACTATCCCCTTGATCTTGAGGATGAAGTACATGGACGAGTTGAGGGTGCACTCATCCAAGTTCTCACGTTAGCTAGGGTAGATGAAGCAAGTAGTGAATATCTCCCTAGCTAGTGTTTAGATTCTTTAATTAGATCTCACACCAATCCTTGCATGATCCTCCAGGCGAATAGCTTCTTGATGGTGCCTCTGCATTCTTGATGAAGTACCCAAAGGCGTCGAAGTGGGTGGTAGACAATGAGCTAACATAGACAATGGACACAATGGCAGTGAAGGGTCTAGGATTGGTGAACCTGAAGTGCCTCTATGTTCTCAATAAAGTACCTAGAGGTGTGTCAAAGGGTGTGGTAGACAACAAGTCGATGTGGGCGATGGACACGATAGCAGCGAAGGGTCTGGGATCAATGAACTTGAAGATGATTCTGGACGAACGATCTTTATCATTCTCTACTTGCCTTTTCAAAATAGGGACATCTTGGTCAAGTGCAGAGATTATTTCATGAATAAAATATTCATTTTGATCCTTCAATTTAGCTTGGTCCTTAGGCATAATTTCCCTTTCAACTAAATCTTTTTTCACCCAATTCTCCCCATTAATTTTGATGTTTTTTAATGGATTTTTCATCAGATTCAAAACAAAGAAGCTTGAATTTCTTTGTCTCCCTAATTTAAAAAAATATTAAAAAACACACACACGAGAATGCAAAATGATGAACTCATCTTTGTGTAGGGTGTCTTCAAAAATTTCATTACATCCTATAGTTTAGAGGATATCCTACACAAAGATAACATGCAAGTATGCAAAATGAGAATGTTGGATGTGAGCTTTAGGGTTCAATTTACCTAAATTTTTGCTTATACATATTTTTTAATTCCTATATGATATGTGAAAAAATGTGTGTAATATTAACTAATGATCATTATAAATGACAATAAGATTATGTGGATCCTACGTGGCTTACTAAGGTGAGTTGACTCTTTTCTGACTCTCAAGGTAGGGGAAATAAGATGGGCCCAACTTGGCCCAACAATACATGTAAAATTGGGCCATCAACATTCTCCGTTCCGTCAATTTTAGTTGGGCCATTTTAAAAACTTGACTTTGAGTTCTTTTTTGTTGCCCAAGATATTCCTACAACTTGCAGTTGAGATTCATTGCGTGAGAAATCTAAACACCATTTAAAGAATTATCCTCTTTCAATTAATATTTTTTTATAAACACTTCCAGGAATTGAATCTTGGAATGATGCTTGAGAGATCCAGACTGCTCTCATCTTTGCCACATTCACTTGGTAAGATAACTTTTAATTACAGAAAAGGATCTTCATTTTCTACCATAACTTGACCGGCAAAAAAGATTTATATATATATATATATATGACTTTCAATTTTTCAAAAAAAAAAAAATGGTTACCTTGACCCGCGAAAAACAAAAACGGAGTAACTAATTGGACCAATTCTCAGTTTTTAACTTCCACCGGAAGTCGCAACTTGTTGCTCGCCTTGCCCCTGGAAATATAAACCTTCATTGATTTATTTTTATTTTTATTTTTTTATTTTTTGGGTTACAGTGGACGGTGGCCACCATGTTGGCAGCCATGTGCTGTTGATAATATTGTACTTCAAACGAAGGGATCCTCCCAGGCTCTGACAGGTAGGCTAGTTATATATTGACATTACCAGAGGCATGCGCAGCATGCAGATCATATACAATTAATGACACGTTCAAACTATTAAATTAATAATACGAGTCATCCCCCATTATATTAAAATGAAGGTGAAGTTTAAATAAAGATTAAAATTTAATTTTATTATTTTTTTAATATATATATATATATATATTAAAAATGTTACAAGTAGTATTCTTAATGTATAAAAAGTAATCTTTTAAATTTATAGCAATTGATATTTCATTTTTTTCTTTTTTTTGTAAATTTAATTTTGTTTATTTTATTTACTTTAATATAAAATTGATTTAACATAATTTAATAAATGTCAATGTAAAATATTTCATGATATTTTTTATTTTTTTATAATTATTTTGTTTATGTATTTATAAAAGATGAATTGTTTTTTTACCAATGTTTATATTTTATTACAAGTGAATATTTAATATATTTATATATGATATAAATATTTGTAAAATTAACATTTCATCATTTTTTATATATTTTTAACTATTATCTTCACTATTCATGTATATTTGTGTTAATATAAGAAAGAAATTATATGCTTAATCTTGTATATTTAAAAAGCTTGTTTCCAGCAATGTGAATATTTTATAGATTATTTATTTAATAATAAATTCTTATTATTACTATTATCAATGTATTAAAATTTATTTGTTATGACTTGATTAGATAAAAATATTAAGTATATAAAATTAAGTACATATATATTGTCCTTAATATGACGTAAGATGATGTGTTAATATATAGTGTTTTTTCAACTTTATTATTTTGGTTAATTTCATTCTTCTCCTCTAATTCTATTCATTATTCAACATGGCACAATTTTAAGGTTATTTTTAATTATTTGAAAAAATTGAAAAAAATAAAAAAATTAAAATTATATTTAGTACACCCAGAAGTTTAATACTATTTAATATGGAAGAGTCTGGTATAAATTTATAAAATAAATTTTATTATTTAGAGTAATTAATTTTGCTGTTTTAATAATTAATTTTGGGCCTATACCAAATTCTTCCGAAAATTAATTATAAACCCAGATAAAACCCTTCCTCGGGAGTAGCGGATCCAGTTCTCCTAATCGACGAACAAGCATCCCATACTCCGTTGGACGCCGTCCACCGTTGTCAGCCCTGCATGGTTGTTCTCGGGTTCGAATCCTAGGGCTTTTTCTACTCCCGAAATCCGGTGAGATTGATTTGTTCAATCTGGTGTTTTGAATCTTGATTTGAATTTTTCCCCGCGTCATCTGTTCCCGCTGTTCTTGCTTTCTTTTAAACTTTTCATTTTAATTTCGTTTTGAATCTGGTCGTGTAATCGTTCAATATTGACACCTTTGGATTTGGGAATATTTACATATTGAGTTTATTTTTTTTGTGCTAGCTTTTGCTTGAGTGGTGTGTAATTGGCTATTACACTTCTTCCCTCTTCATTTTGATTACTAGCGACTTGTATGGTTTGGATATTGTTTTTCCCCTGCAATGTTGGATTTGTTGTGTTTTGGCATTCTGTTTATTAATCTTTTTATATTATCATCAAATTTGGAAATTCTCAAGGTACTTGTGATACATGATCTCGTAAATGACTCGGCTCGAGTTATGTCAAAGTATCTGGAACAAAAATTAAAAGGACATTATATCAACTATGCATATTTCAAAGATTTCAGAGTGTAATATAGGTCCGCCTATGGATTCAATAGTGTTCATACAGCCAATAGGAGGAACATCATATCGACAATACTGTTTTTGTATTGAGCACAAGCACTAATCATCATTGGATTGCAACTGTGAATTTCTTCAGTTGAAAAATTAAAATCAATTTCTTTAGCATGTGTTCAACGTGCCAAATGAAAAGAAAGCTATTGTGACTTTCTAGTAATGCATAACTTCCTGCTCTTTTTTGTTTTGCGAATTTGGCTTGTCATATTGTAATGGTTGAATTGGTTGTAATGATTCATACATTTAGGACCAGTCCTGATGCAACTTAGTTACATGCTCAGGGTATAACTTTGGGTAAGTTTTGGGAATCATCAGTGTATATAAAAGTTGGAGAAAGCCACACTGTTCACAGAGCTTTGAAGAATGCTGCTTCCTTCCTCGGGCTCCATGGAATGTGTTGAGGCCTGACATAAAGTTACATTTGGTGATAGAATTTATCAAATTTTGGTGTTTATGAATCTTATAGAATTGAGGTTTTATGCTTTGATCTAGAAATAGTGGTGAAGTGTTATTCCCATTAGATAATCTTCTCCATCACTTGCAGACATTTGTAGTATAAGGAAGTAAGAGAGCTAATGGAAGAATATAGCTCAAGCAGTGTGAAGAAGGCAAAACTGCAATCTATGCTCACTGCCCTGCTAGAAGATCCCATACTCACTGATGTCCCAAAGAAGCCAACATTGGCTGATGTGGACACTCTCATCAACCTTGAGCTGGGTAGTGCCATGCGCATTTCTGTTCTCAAACTAGATGGAACATCGTTTGGTAATACTTGTCTTTCATCCCGCACCTTTTCTTTTTGGGAGCCTACTCAATCTGCTTTTTCACTTTGTTTCCCTGCAAAATGAATGTGGATATGGGAAAGAGTTAATGCTCAATTGGGTTGAATCTTTTGATTTTGGTGGTGAAGATGTGACAGTGATGAACTCAGCGACAGTCAAGGATTTGAAACTTGCGATTAAGAAGAAAGTAAATGACATGGAACAATCCAAGATGGGTCACCGCCATATATCTTGGTGAGATTGAGGTTCTTTTCCTATACTTTTATTAGCAATGTTGGAAATTTCTTAGAAAAAGCTAATATTTTGGGATTAAGTTTTTGGATAACTCTATATTGCACAATGTATTGTCTCTACTTTGTTAAGAAAAGAAAAGGAGAGAAAAATTATTGACATTGTTTTTTATTTCTTTTTCACTGTAAAAATAATGGAATCGCAGGAAGCACGTCTGGGCTAATTATTGTCTGTCATACCATAATGAAAAGCTCCTTGATGATGGGTTTGTGCTTCAGAATTTTGGTATTCGAAATAATTCTCAGGTTTGCCTCATAAACTTTATGTAAGAAGAACTTTCTTTTTCCTATAATTTTGCTTCCTTGTGGCATTCTCTTTTCTAGTACATTCAACTTCTAATTTCATTAAAATCTTGAAGGAATCTTTCTTGTGGAATGGAATTATGCTCATTCTCATATTTGTGGGCACAAAAACATTATGAAAATTTCAGATATAATTTGTTTTAGAAAATGTTTTTGATTTGTTTACATGTTACATTCTGTTTGCAAATAGGGGCATGACATTTTAAATTGTTGCGTTTCTTTTCGTATATTGAAGTGCATGCTGATTCAGCTTAATAAAACCCATCATTTTATGGGGCTGCTGTGATCAGTATTCAGCTAGTATGGTGGCTTCATTTCTTCACTTTCTCTTGCTTTTATAATGTTAGTTTCGTATGATTATTTTTTTTAAAGATATTCTGTTCGCGTTTTTTGGGTGTAAATTTGAATATTGTAAATTCGTTTAAGTTACTTCTCGTTTGTTTGTTCATATTGAATTAGTCTTGACGAAATAGAGTGGAGCAATGTTGTAATAAATTAATGGTGCATTATGCCCATGCAGGTACATTTTGTACCCTATGTCATGACAAAAGAATCTCAGAGACACTCGAAGAGGCGAAAACATCGATTCTTTCATGGCCTTAATAAGCTTTCTTGATCAAGCGTATGTTCTTATCAGGATTCAGGGGTGTAAGATTTAGGAATGTGGGGTTTGTACAGCCTTTGGCTCTTTATTCTCATGAACCAGATTTCGGGGTTTGTTTCCCAGATGTTTATATCCGGTTCTATTGTACTAACACTAGCAAGGTGAAGATTATTTGGCTTCACAGCTTCAATGTTCACTGTTGTTCAACTTATTTGCAACCTCGTGGCCTTGTGAGACTAGTAGCTTCATTACTTAGTGTTGCACAAAGTAGTATTCAAATCGCACCATAAAGGGACATGGAAATTTTACCCCATGGCATGAACTATGCTGATGTTGGTGTTCTGTTAATATGACATAGCTTGAGACCTTCTTTGCTGCCTGAACAACCATTAATTGTGACATTAATCACTAACAATTTTGCCGTTGTCTTGAAAAGGGGAGGAATTAATTGTGTGCTTCATTACCCACTACTATGATGTTAATTATGACATTATTAGGGGTCAAAATTGAAAAATTGCTGTGATTTTATATGCTTTCAATTAAATAACAAATAAACACTTTATTTAGGGGCGGAGGGAGTAGCGAAGAATTCATGACACATCAATTATGAATTACCTTTCCCAGCTTCATGCTGAGATTCCAAACGAAGGCAATGTTAAAGCATAATAGTACAGAGCTTAGACAGCAAAAAGTTAAGCATGCTACAGAAGTTTCCTCTGCTACTAGTAGTGATGAGTGACATGTTTGCAACCAGGTGATCGAGAAATTACAAGTTAAATCTTTTAAACTCAAGCCATACTTTAGTATTAAATTGAGAATTTTCTAACAAATGTCAGTGAAGCAATTTATCTTTGTCTGAAACAGCAAAGATTTACTGAGGTATTTCTGACTCTTAAAAGGGAGCACCATAAAATTGTGTCAGGGTAGAATGGTTCATGGATGCGACATTTTCTATGGTGATTTTCCCAAGGTGGAGTTCTCCAGGTGATGCGATTTAGTAAAAGTTATGTAATCAAAATATATCCTGTTTAATAAGGAAACATATGATCTTATTTATGAGCGTTATTCAAATGTTTTTTCCCCTGAATTTTCACTCGTCTTTAAAATAAAAAACGGAGAGGCAATATGCGTTGTGCAAGGCCTTCATTTATATCTATTTATATATACAATATAGGAAAGTGATTAACTTGTATTATTTGTAAGTTATAAATAATATAACCCATTTCTTAAATTTCATATGATGCTGGTGGCTCACACTAAGTAAAGAAGTTAATTAAATTTCATTCCTTTAAAATTTGAGGGGGAAAGAACAATTTCAAATAAAAAATACATTATATATCATAACTAGTATAGTTTAATTATCAAATTTTATGTAATATAGGTGATTTATACTTAAAAAATAGATGCTAATTAAATTTCCCTCCTTTAAAATAGGGGAAAAGTTAAATCACAAGTCTCAAAAGTGTTTTTAGACAAGAAAATGAAAATTCATTTGTCATATTTTCTTTCAAGAAACATTTTTTATATACCAAACGTGCAATAATGTTTTTATTTGGAATATTTCAGTGATAGTTTTTTTCAGAAAAATAATAATAAAATTATTTTAAATTATATAAATAACAAGCTGGTTCTTCAAAATATCATAATTCTATTAAAATTTTTAGGAACTTCTTTATCAATAAATTTTAAATTGAAAAAATAATTTTATCCTTATTAACAAGTTGTAATTTCTTGATCAACTCTTGCACTTTTTTGAATAAAAGTTGTGATTCTTTGAATAAAAGTTATGAATGAGGTTTGTTATTTTAAAAACTTGCTTTTTAATAATAGAAATTATATTTAACAAATTATAATTTCTTATTCAATTCTTGCGATTCACATAACAAAAATTATTATTCTTAAGAAAAAAAATTTGATTAAGGCTTTAATAATAGAAATTATAATTAACAAGTTGTAAATTCTTATTCAACTTTTTTGTAGAAAAAAGTTATGATTTCTTAAATAAAAGTTGTGATTGGGGCTTATTATTTTCAGTAAGAGTAAAATGATCTTTTCACTTTAAAATTTATTGACATAAAGTTTCCTAGAGACTTCCTTAAAATTATGATATTTTAAGAGATCAGATTATTATTTATATAATTCGAATAAATTTTATTGTCATTTTTTTAATTTTTTCTGCCAGCACTAAACCTACAAAGTGTTACTGTGTGTTAGCAGGATGTGGAGGAAGGTGATTATTTTTGTCAAGTTGTTGATTAAAAAAATGCTAACTTTTCTTACATTTAAGTTGGTGGGGATATAGTGTAATTAAATTATAAACCCCCCTGCCAAAGAACAATATTCATTTGTCTCAAGTTATTATTAAATAATATAATAAAAGCTACTTTAGTTAATAAAGATTTAACTCATAACGTACAAGATCGTTTGTTTAAATTCAATTACTAATATGAAATTATTACTTATGAGTAATTTATAAATATCTTGATAAATATTTTTTGAGTTTAGAAAAATGCCTTCGCTAAGTTTTAAAATCTAACTCACTTAAACTTTATCTTATAAAAAAAATTATTAAATAATATAGGGAGGCATGGAGCAAGAGGTGGCAGACAAAAGGCACAAAGCCCACAGGTAATCATCTATCCATCATCTATAACCCCATGATCACCTTCTTCATTCAGGTCCAGAAATTCATGCCAAAAAAATAAAAAAGAAAAAAGCAGAAGAAGAAAAGTGCAACAACTTAGGTTGCGACAGAAGACATGTCGTTATCATGCTTACCATCTTAATTAATTAGTTTCAGAAACCTTTGTGTGCGTCTCTCCTCTATTTCTTCTAGAAGGTTAATTTTGTTTATTTAAAAAAAAAAGCACATGTATTTCCATATGTGTGGGTATATATATATATATAGTGAATTGAAAAGCTACTAGAAAATATAATTATTTATTAAAATAATTGCAGGACCAGTAATGTGTGCTGGAATGTCATCAAATTTATTTAATAGTGTCAACTATGTAGTTTCTCAGTAATTTTTTTGGGAGAATGATAATTAAGGACCTGCTAAGAATATTAATCCTAATTACAAACTGTAAAATTTTGAAATCAGAGTTAAGGACCATGGTCCTTAATTGTGATAAAAAAAATGTAATTTGTGAGGTAGGATTCACTAACGCGACTTGAGAATTCACTAACCCAACTTGAGAAAATTACTAACGTATATTGTGAAAACATGAAACCCCACTTAGAAATGGAATGTTTAACAAAAAATGCCATTTGAGAATTTACTAACTAGACTTGAAAAAATTTCTAACATATATTATGAAAAAATAAAACCCCACTTGAGAATCATTAATAAAAAGTGACTTATCCAAATTGGTGTTTTTTATTAAACAATCGATTCCCAAGTGAAGTTTCGTGTTTTCACAATATACGTTAGAAATTTTTTCAAGTCAAGTTAGTAAATTTTCAAATGGCGCTTTTTGTTAAACATTCAATTTTTAAGTGGGGTTTCATGTTTTCACAATATACGTTACAAATTTTCTCAAGTTGGGTTAGTGAATTCTCAAGTGGCAATAATGAATCCTACCTCACAAATTACATTTTTTAATCACAATTAAGGACCATGGTCTTTAACTAAGATTTCAAAATTTCACAGTCCGTAATTGAGATTAATGTTCTTAGCAGGTCCTTAATTGTCATTCTCCCTAATTTTTTTTAGGTAAATAACGATATATAAAATTATAATAGTAAGAAATGGCTATTTCCACCAATACAAATCAAAGCAAAAGTGACATGTACGTGTAGGATCATTTGTAACATTACATCAGTAAAAACCTCAAGCATAAACTCAACCCTAATTTTTTATTTATTAAGATATGGTGTTAAATTTACAAATATGTTTGTTTTTGGTCTATTTAGACTTTTCTCTTTCTCCACGTGGCGATTTTCTTTTTGGTCTAACAATCAAAAAAAGCTCTCTAACTTCAAAAGTGTCAAGAATGAGGAAGAGGAATAAATGAATAAAGAATAACAGAAAAATATCAAATTTTAATTAAAAATTTCAAAGGCCCCTGCTACGAGATTTATAAATGGACAAAGAGTAACTGAAAAACGTCACATCTTAATTGAAAATCTCAAAGCTTAAGTTTATAAATTATTTTTTTTATTTTATATTAATTATTAAGTCTAATTTTATCCTATTTAAATTCACTCACATTTAAGGATTAACATATCACCCACACAAAGTCCAACTCCTTCTAACATGATAATGGGAGGATTAGAACCCTACTTATAATAAAAGCACAAATAGATGAATACATGTGGGATGAGGCAGACCAACCGGGAAGCAGTAGTCCCACAAACCGCCCCAAAAGGGTAAGAGAAGGGACAAACTTGCTTGCTCTGCACTATTTCTTGGATGAAGCAACCCCACCACACCAAAATAATGCTGAAATTGTATTATTATATTATTATTATTATTATTATTATTATTATTATACAGTAGGGTCCACACATACACACACATTATATGTGTATATATATATATATATCCATGATCATCATCATCATTCTCAAGTGATAGCCCTTCCAATAGTTTCTTTGCAGCGGCTGCGTTCCCATCAATCTATTGGTTAATAATAATGTATGTATATCCATTCCCCTCGTTCTGTTTCAATCAAAAAAGAGAGGCCCTGTGACCTTAGATTCTTCATTCATTATTCAAATTTGCTTCTCTAGCTACCACCACACACACATACACAGAACAAAAAGAAAAAGAGGGCAAAAATGGAAGATTCTCATTCTGCTATGCTTATAAGAAATCAGGTCTCAGCTGCTTAGTTAGGCTTATGTTTTGGTTTGTCTTTACCTATACGTGAGTGATGGTTTTTTTTTTTTTTAATTCTCTATAGTAAGACTCACGTAAAGGAGCTGCCTCTTTTCCTTTCAATTTTTTACTTCATCATTACTTATAATAGACCCCCCCCTCTCTCTCTCTATATATAATATCATGATCTAGTTAAAAGTAAAAAACTAGATAAGTGGTCCAATTTGATTTCTCTTTTTCAGGCTAGAAGATCAAAAGTGTTTGAACTCTGATAATTACTCCTTATTCATCTCACTCTTAAGTCTTACCATCTAATCTAGTCCCATGTTGCTTCAATTTGATTAAAATTTATTCTTTTCAATCTTATTTATAAGTTATTCCCAACATGTTATAATA